TATATATATATATATATATACTAAAATAGCTTATTGCTATCTGTATCATAAGTTTCACTTAGTTTCTGAATAGAGGTTTAGTGGATAAACTCATAAACTTTATCCAAATAGTAGGGTCCCTTAAGGTCACAGAAATCAGAGGTGATACCATAACGTTTACGACAGTTTAAAAAGGTCAGATGACAAGATTTGCTTACAATTGTCTTCTTTGTCTGGCTGTATTCAGTGCTTTGTCTGGCAATATTACTACCATAGTTTAATCGAAGATATGAAGACCAAGATGGTGTGGCTATCTGTATGATCGCAGTCTCCGTTCGATTTATAGAATCTCGTTTTCGCAACTTGGTCTTGCTGTCATGGAAACTTAGTTAAACTCACCTAGTCCAAAGTCCTCTGCCATAGTTATCATAATTCCCAGCATCAGACCGTGGACTTGTTACAATCTCAGACGTTTCGCCGGCATCGTAGTTGGCATCATCAGTGAGTGCTGCCATTCCTTGCACCAAGTTACGAACTCGTCAAAGATGCAAGTGAAGTCAATCTCTCCACCAATATTCTGCCGAAAACGGTTACACTATCACTCCTCTTTCTGTCCTCTTTGACGAGTTGTAGCTTGGTTCTGGGAATTGTAGGACTTAATGATGATGCCGATGAAACGTCTGAGAATGTACCAAGTCCATGGTCTGATGCTGGGAATTATAACTACTATAGCAGAGGACTTCAGACAAGATGCGTTCAACTAAGTCGCCCTCGCAAAAACACCAATTTGCGAAAACGAGATCAACCAACTCCTAAAAGTGGTATGTTACCGACCTGTCTGCCTTAAAAAAAAAGGAAAATAACTCGGGATGAGGGACTTCAGAATAATGCCCAAATAGAAACCAACAAGTTTTTTGGAGGCATTTTGGTGCTCTCTCCAGTTCAAGTTGCAGCAAGTTTGTATCCATTCGGGGGTCTAAATATGTATTTGGCTGAGAAAGGAAATGGTTAACACAGAAAACCAGATATGATTGCCGAAATATACACGCTGTTCCCAATTAAGAGGAGGCTTAAGGAATCTAAAAAAAGGAAATGCAACATCCTGAATAGAATAAATAAATGTGAAAGCATGTGGAAACCTCTTATAAAGAATATATCAACATGAAATTATTAAGGTATTCTTCAAAACGGTTCCCCTTAATACCTACGAATATAGTGAGACCGTCATGGTTAGGGCAGATTAGCATTTGCTCTTACAATCAGCAAAATTATTATTTTTGTAAACAAATTAGACTGGAGATGATGAGATGCAGGTGAGATCAAAAAAGCAATATAGATGGAAGGCCAAGCGAAATTAAATTAAATTAATTAGGAATCTTACTGCTTGCAACACCTCAAAGGAGTTATTAAGCAAAAAGCTTACCTACAATCTTTTATATTTAGCAAAATGTCATGTGAATCTCCAAATAAATTTCTGCTTTGGCGTGATAGACACTTGACGGGTTACTTTGGCAATGTGTGTAAAGCAATGTCTCAAAAATGCTTGCGAAGAAACGAATGCGTTGAATGAAAAGGCGAGTATAATAAGTAGATAAAAAATAAAAAACAAAGCAATCTAATTTCATCTTAAAAACACGTATACTCATAAGTAGGACAATAAACCAATGTTTAAAAATGCGACGTACAATTGCTGATCCAACAACTGCTGTTCTGCAACCAGAAAATCCTGTCTCTCTTTTTCCTGACCCAACTGCACCGTCCATACCAAGCGCTCTACTGCTCTGTTCACACCAGAGGCAGCACTTTTGAGCCCTCGCCAGCTAACTGAGTCTGGATCAGCTTTGGCTTGGCAAGCAAGAACCAACTGGGTGGTACAGGAAGCCACAGTTCTGGCGGCCGCAATTACGCCCTCTGGCCGAAAGAGAATTGGAGTTGAATTTGTATCAGGTTGAGAAAAGAGAGAAGCAGTGGCATCAGATCTTGCTGCGATCTCAGCAGTGACAGCAGCAATCTGGCCAGAAAGTGGACGAGAAGAGCGCTTGAGAGCCACGAGAGTCTGAGCAACCTCAACAAGATGGTTGGCCGCAGTGGCAACATAGCCAGCCTTAAGAGAAAATAAATGACATGGGGGTTGGAATAGAGGAAAATTAATTTAAAAAATAGACATAGATTATATAATTATAAAAACAAGAGTAAGGATATGTGTAACATTGAATAGTGGCGGATACAATGTGGGGCTACTCGATAAAACATGCCTAATTAACTTTTGAGACCCTTGAGGCCATTCCCCTCACAGGCCCTCCCTTACCATTACTTGCCTATAAAATCATAAAGCATCATCTTATATGCAGAGATTGAGACCATAGAGACGTACGCTGTGCTTAACATGCCCACGTGTTAGTCATTTGAACCACCTCGATAATTGGATCTCATTTTCAATCATTCATCGGAGAGCCATAAGATGGATTAAAGCAAGCCATTGAAAAGTAGGTTTAAATCATGTATTCAGAGGAAATTACCAAAGTTCATTTGAAAAGCATTCGCCTCTGTAGGCCAAGATAATCTCCATATAATCTCAATAATGTTCGGCTTATCATAACACATCAGTTTACCTACTCAAGAACATCTTCAGGAGGATACCGATAGAACTTTAATAGGGTTGACCTCTTGCTATACAACTCATTAACATACTGGACAGTTGCCTTCTATTGCAGAATTGGGTTTTTCGTGGTACTCTATTATCCAAGAGGCAAATTGAGAAGATATATGAGATATATAAATGTATACCTTATATCGTTTTAAGTGGTAAAGGACTGCTATTAGATTTTTCCATAATTAGATGATTAGGTTTCGTGTTTCAATTGAATTTCACACAACCTTGCTTCAAGGAAAGCTATGCCTTTTATGTATAGTAATTCCGTATTAAGAATGCCGATGGAAAAAGTTATATTTTCTATTACAATAGACTTCATCACTTATTTTCGTATATAAATAGGCCTTGAGAATACCGGTAGATTATAGAAATGAGATCTGTTCAGTAATACTTCATTTTGATCCAGACTAGGCATTGCGCTACCACAATCAGAGTTTGAGTCCAGCTGGTGTTGCTGAGGTCGAAACTGCAGTCAACTGTAAGAGAATGCCTTTTTGAAAGCAGGGCTATGCTATGTGAAGTCCAATTAAAACGTGAGGCCTTCTTATATCCTTGCGGGAAAAACAAACATCACGTAAAACAAAGTAGAGTGAATATATCTCATATATATGCTCTACTGGTTGTTTCGAAACCTACTAATGAGCGAAAACAAGTCGAGATTATGCCAATGTCGCGGCCTCTTAAGCATGAATCCAGCAGTATTTACATCAAATATGTACGAACCAAAAGAGCTTTAAAATAAAATGAAATTGCATAGGTCGATTATCAAGGTAAATGATCGGACATGTTATCACTAAAAAGGCACCGAACAGTGAAAAAAAATAGAAATTGGCAGCTGAAGGTGTGAGTAAGCATACACTGGAGGAAGTAATATAGGATATGAAGCCAAACGAAATAGTTAAGGAAACAAACAGGTCATGAGCCGAAAGGGGGAACAACAGATCCAGAATAGTTTTAAGCCCTTAAACCCCAACCCTGAAAGAAACTTCGTAAATGGTCGCTACGACTATTAAATTATATAAAAATGCCGGTGAAAGTATCGGCCTTATTACAATAGTCGAAACATTGAAGATGACTGTCCATCCAGTTAGCTACCTAAAGAAAACTTTCAAAATGCGCAAGGAGATAAAGTGGCGATATATGAGCGAATGTAATGCCGACTAGCAATAAAGGTAGGCAAGTTTGCATTGAGACCGAGATGTGATTTTGTATAAACTTTCTCGCAGTGAGGTACTTGCCGCTTAGGAAAATATCACAGATGCTAAAGATTTTTCTGTGCAGATGACGAATTATTTAGGCCAGAATCATTGCCATTCAATGACAAAGAAGAAGCTAACAAACGAAAACCAGGATGGTATGATTTTTTGTGTGATCGCGGTCTCCTTTCGTTGTATAGAAGTCGTTTGACATTGTTTTCGCAACTTGGTCATATTAGCAGGAAGACCTAGTGAAACGTACCTTGTTCAGGGAATGTACCAAGTCCACGGTCCGACTGGAAATTATCATGCATACTATGGACTTTGGACAAGAGGCATTCCTCTAGGTCCTTCTGCCAATATGAACAAGTTGCGAAAACAAAGTCAAACGACTTCTAAAGAAGCTAGTCTATGCCGATGGCTAGGCATTATTTAAAATGACAAAAAAACCTGATATTCTTCTCAGCATATTCTCAGACCGTCCGAAATTAGTTGATGTAAGAACCAAACAAACATGCATCGAATAAACAAGTTTATGCAAATGAACTATGCAAAAAAAGGAGCAAAATGATATAAGACAAAAAAATTCACGAATTCAGTATACATTATAAACAAAAGCCTTTTAACAAGAATTTTTGTATTAATTTGATTTTATTACTGAAAGGAGTTGCAAATTTGCATTTGAATGAATCAGATTGGATAAAAGAAAGAGCCCAAAAAGACTCACGGCTGAAATGAGACCATGTGTCCACTGAGAGTCGGCCTCCAGAGCCATTTCAGCAGGTGTGATCGGCTTAACGCGTCCCAGTAGCACCAGTTCACGTTGAGCTGCTGCTGCCCAATGTACTAGGTTGCCGGTTCCTTCAGCAACCTGCTGGCACGCTGTCAGGATCGCCTCGACTTCATTAAGATAGCCGTTTCGCAACTGACTTGCCAAATCTGCCTCTGTTAGCACTTCTTCATTCTCTAGTTCGCCATCCGTTTCTGCTTCCACCCCGCTTGCATGGCCCTGTCCGGAGAATCGACTGACCCTTAAATTGCCGTTAATCGGTTGTACATGCTCTGACGTCAATAATTCAT